TATGATTTCAGATTAGATGAAGTAATAAAGGAATTAAACTGAGAAACCTAAAGTCAAACTAACTTTAAAGATGTGCCATCTACTGGAAACTGACTGCGTGTGTAATGCTTGGTTAACATTTAAAAAAACTGCAAGCTTCCAATTATAAATAAATTCTCAGGAAACATTGCATTTCCCTTATTTATTCCTGTTCAACTCCCGCAAGGAAGCTGGATCCTTTCCAAATCAGAAACAAAAGAGTTGCAGGGACACAGGGTCACAGGTCTTACAACTAACAATGCTGTTCAACAGTCAAGGCAGAGATGAATGGTGTGTTTCGTGACTTTATATCCATGTTATACCAGTTACTGTGAATATATAAATCATCAAAACCACATCAAATATGAATTCCTCGACCCAAAAAGTGCCAGAAACCATGTATTGAACAACATTGTAGGCCAAAACATTGAAAAGCTAATTTTCAACCTATGTTGATGGCAGCCATTTTGGATTTAGGGCTCTAAAAAATGTTTTCCGCATTTCTGCGAGGGGCATGGGGGCTACATTTTTTTTTTTAAAAACCCTTTATAGATTACAAATCCACTGAGAAACGAACCTCCGCTCTTCACGGTCACCGAATTGCTGGAGATGACCCAACTAATACGCCTCATTGTAGCTTTATTGATGAAATAAAAGCCACTCTTAAATAGTGTATGGGTTTCAGAATTACCAGATGAGTTAATCGACCAAAACAGTTGATGATTATTTAATCATTAAAGTAATATTTTCAGACCCTCAAATATGGAGTTCATGCTTTCCTCTGCTTTTATATCATATTAAACTGAATATATTTAGGTTCTGACTGAGAATACAAGACATTATCTTGGACTTTGCGAAACTGGGATGGACATTTCTTCACTATTTTCTGTCTTTTTTTTAATATTCCAAATGACTCTCTGGGACTGGTTAACTGAAGAATAAAAGTATGTGTAAGTTGCAGACCTAGCCAGAATGACTCATTATATATATTTATACAAACAGGACTTGTGTGATGAGCTGGCCATGGTTGATGTGATGGAGGACAAGTTGAAGGGTGAGGTCATGGACCTGCAGCACGGATCCCTCTTCCTCAAGACAAAGATTGTGGGAGACAAAGGTGAGAACGCACAAATATCTTCCCTTTAACTCCTGAATAATTTATTTCGAATCTGGTATGTAAACTTGACTCTCACTGAAACTATAACTCTGCAGCTCCATTAGAACCCCTCTTGTTTTGTTGATTTTCAGACTACAGTGTGACAGCCAACTCCAAAGTGGTGGTGGTGACAGCTGGAGCCCGTCAGCAGGAGGGCGAGAGCCGTCTGAACCTTGTGCAGCGCAACGTCAACATCTTCAAGTTCATCATCCCAAACATCGTCAAGTACAGCCCCAACTGCATCCTGATGGTGGTTTCTAACCCAGGTTAGACAGGCGGGGTTTGAATGAGCGAGGGAGGGAGGAGGTGCAATGTGAGAAGAGCAGTTGTGGCTTAAAATAGTGTTTGGGGGTACTGGAAGAGAGTAGCACCTTTCTAATTTGGAAGAGTTGTCCCCTTTACCCTTTCAGTGGACATCCTGACCTATGTGGCCTGGAAGCTGAGTGGTTTCCCCCGTCACCGCGTCATTGGCTCTGGCACCAACCTGGACTCCGCCCGTTTCCGCCACCTCATTGGAGAGAAGCTCCACCTCCACCCTTCCAGTTGCCACGCCTGGATCGTCGGAGAACATGGAGACTCCAGTGGTATGAAGCTCCGACTAAAAATAGTGTTCCTGTTGTTGGTGTACTGCAAATCGTTCAATACAGCTGCATCATTTTGCCACAATTACATTTATTCTCTATTTAATTTATCACGTGTGTTTCTCACAGTGCCTGTCTGGAGCGGTGTGAATGTTGCTGGAGTGTCTCTGCAGGGTCTGAACCCACAGATGGGGACTGAGGGTGACGGTGAGAACTGGAAGGCTATTCACAAAGAGGTGGTTGATGGGTGAGTAAACAATAGTTTCCAGTAATCCACCAATGACCTGAAAGAACTTCCCTACAAACCACATTTTTCTTTCTCCCACACTGATGAATGTTATCAGCAAATCAATCGGCCATGTGCATACAGGTCATCCATCCATCCATCCATCTGAGGTTGAAGCCATACATATTATGTTTTATTAAAACACACTTATAGGATATATTGGCTTACAGTGACAGTTGCCTATTTACAAAAATATCAAAAACATACATACACGATTTGATCAAGATCCAGTGGAGCTCACTAGCCCTGGAAAGGAATGTAATCAGTGATGTGGGCCAAAAGGCAAGCAGAGGCGGGTATACAGAACACTTCTGTGCTGTTGGCTTACTGGTGCCTGGCAGCCAGTGCAAACACAAAAGCTATGCTAGTCCCCGTAACATAATACCGCGCAGTTGTCCTCATGGCTTTGCATTAATGAAACGCCAGACAATATTGAATCCTGATAAAAGACAGGTTCGCCCTAATTGAAGACTTTAAAGGTAGGGTAGGTAATTAACTTCAGAAACACTTTTTGTTATATTCCATAGAATGCTCTTAACATCCCGATAGCAATGAATGCATTAAATGCTTTGACAATAAATACATACAAAAAATATCATCTGTGGAAGCCGTAGCGCTGTAAAAAGCACGACCAATCCTCTGAGCCGGCCCGGCTAAAGTAACTGGATGGCCTACCTGCCTGTCAGCCTTCCATCTGTGCACAAACTTATCTCGTGCCCTCATTGGTCATGTGGGTGTTCGTGTGTGGTGGGGGAGGGGCTCTGTAAGGAAGTCTGAAGGAAGGGGAAGATTTTTTTCGGTTGTGTAATTCTAGCGCACTTGAGCTGGTTTCTCCATTCTTACCTTAACTAACCATACCAACATAATAGCATTGCTATGTATAATACTTCTGTGTGTTGTGTTAAAGTTTACCCTGTAAACTTTGATACTTTACCATTATGTCACGGTCAGTACACCTTATTTATATTCAAGTAGCTGAGTTCTTAAGGAGGTAAAATGGTATAACACAAGGGTTGATTTTCAGGAAATAAAAGAGAGACTAGGGGAGAAAAGGGATGTTTATGTTGCACTGCTGTTTGTACAAGTACAAATGACTTTCTCTCTCATTCTGGCCAGCCAAATGAACCTGGACATGTAAATTGTTTATATTGCAATAAAACTCTGTAAGAAAAGTGTTCTCTTTGAATTTAGGCCTTATGTTTTTGAGCTAATTTCCAATTGACAACGTACAAACAGTCCCAAGTACCAAAGCACACAGATGTTTGTCTTTTGTCCAGGAAATATGCTGTTCTGACTTTTGTTTGTTTTCTCTGCAGGGCCTATGAGGTTATTAAGCTGAAGGGCTACACCTCCTGGGCCATTGGCATGTCTGTAGCTGACCTGGTGGAGAGCATCATTAAGAACATGCACAAAGTCCACCCTGTGTCAACACTGGTCCAGGTAAAAAGATTGGCCAAATCCTATATCATACAATTCATCGGATTGCATCCACATACTGAACATTCTTTGAATATCATGAAAATACCTTTTAACCCCTTCCTCTGACAGGGCATGCATGGAGTGAAGGATGAGGTGTTCCTGAGCGTCCCTTGTGTCCTGGGCAACAGCGGCCTGACAGATGTGATTCACATGACCCTGAAGGCCGAAGAGGAGAAGCAGCTGCAGAAGAGCGCCGAGACCCTGTGGGGCGTACAGAAGGAGCTCACCCTGTGAAGAGCCTTCCTCTGAAGCCACTCTGACTCCCTCCTCCTGTACCCCTTACTGCAATAGGCGAATGAAACCTCTGAATGTCTAAGAAGGCAAAGTGTGAATGTAGCTAAACCAGTGGAGGCTAGATTCTAACTTGAGATATTAAAACATCTGTTGTTGTCCTGGCTACACAAGAAAAGTGTGGCCTCTACATTGTAAGCGTAAACACTCTATGTACTGTAATGTTTCTGTGCCCCGTTACTGCTTCTCTCTGCACTCCTTGTCTGTAGTTTGTATTTATTCTGTGTGTTCTGTGATTGTTGCCAGTGGTTTTTTTCCACTTGGTCATCTCTTTATTTTGGAGTCTAATGGAGACATTCCATTCACTATGAGGAGAGCTTCCTACTTAGTCATAACGCTGCTGCACATATCACTGGGATAGAACCCTGTGATACCAAAGTACCTTGAGTAATCAATGCTACGTTTACTGGTTGGCATTGAAACCTTTGTTAACCCATCGAAGTGCACTGACAGAAACATATTTTAAAAGTCAATGTTTAAGATGCTGGTTAGAAAGGAGAATTATAATGGCTGCCAACAAAGTGACTTAATGTAACTCTTAAGAGATAACAGAGAACCAAATGGGAAAGAGTCAGCTACAATCATGGCCTAGAGTCAGGTTATAAATCATAAAAAACTAATGATCTTGGAAGGTGTTGTTTGTTTGCGCACCATAAATACCATAAAGGGTTTTGTATTTATTTGACTTCACTCTGGTGAAGTCACCAAGAGAAAAAGGACAGTGTTATTTATAATTGTTAATACGGTTAGGATCTATTTATGTATTAACGTTGCAACCTTCACTGAGGAATTGTACCCGTCATGGCAGCGAGATATTGATTATGTTTTGCTGTAACATTGAATAAATCTGCCTGGATAGTGAAACATGTTCGTTGTCCTTTTTTAACTGTTTGTCATGCAAGCGAGCAAAAGGCAGCTTGGGATTGTTGACAGAGGTTTTTATGAGAGATCAAAGTCTGAAACTCCTGTGTGAAATCAGCACAAGGTGAACATAATGGTAGATTCTGCTACATTTGCTAACAGATACCAGTCATTTTAAAAGATTTACTTGATCATTGATAACCAACCACTGGATTCTAAATTACAGCTACTTCACAAATATTAAATTACTTTCTGTAGTTTGGCATTGCCAACAGGTGTGCAACGGAGAAAACACTTACATTTCTGTTATTAATAACCCATCAAAGAATGAGATCTACACCAGATTCCATTTATTTTTACTGATTTACATAAATCTACAGATATAAAAGAACAGGTGGTCTATGGTTGAATTGGAAACAAGAAAAACAATAACAGCAGATAATCTATCATACAATTCAAAGTGCATTTAGTAAAAGGCTAATTTAAATGATACCTGTTTGCAAACTTTACATAAGTAACATTTTGATTAGTACAATATATTGTTTTGATTTGTTTGTACCCTCCAATGCTCCAGCTTTATTCACAACGTTTTTTCCCATGTTTACTGAAAACTTAAACCTCTCAGCAGGACTGAGAATAAGCACAAAGACCATAGAAAAGTAAAGAAAAACAGAATTTCCTTTGTAACACATTACAATAAAGCATGTCAAGTCTGTCATCCAGAGTGAAACAACTACTGTACAAGATTGACTGGTTAATTCAGTCAGACTGGAGGGTAGACCTGAGCAGATGACGGCTGAACAGGAAATGCAAATAATAGTGTGGCAGAGTAGCTCAAAATTGAACCAATTAAAAGACAGTATGTACTGTATGAAAAGTGATCTCTTGACTCCATGGTTACTGAACATGACTTGAACAGCATTAAATCCTGAGGCTGAGCCCCATGTCCTTCCTGAAAGGTTGGCCCGGGTATTTATACCCCGGGCCAACCTTTTCATTATGAGGAGAGTGGACACATAGGTTCTTTTTACAAAGCCCCTCTCTACACGCCCCTAACAATTTGTGCTTACTAGCCAAATGACTGTCTGGCAAAGGGAGTGCGAACAGAACCAGCTCCCTGCAGTGCATCATGTACAGGTTGTCACAGTAACCAACACAGATACACTACAGAGGAAACTAGGCTCTCACGTCACTCTCAGTATGTCATGTGTGTTAGGCATGTTTCTGTGTCAACCGGAGCACCTGGGTCACAATGTTGTCCCAGTGCTTTTACTCATTGTTGGTGCAAATGGGTCATGACGGGTAATGCATTAAGATCTCAAATCATTATTTGGTCAGATCAAAAACACAAATTATTTCCAACGAGAACGTTTGGACCACACGGGACGGCCCAGTTCTACATAAATGTTGCATTTTAAATGTTTGCCGTTCAGAAGTCTGTCTCATAAGAACAGATTGTATAGAGATAAAAAAAGAGGACAGCTTCTAGAAGACATAAAAGGGAATAATGAGAGGAGGAAGAGGAGAGAGTAAGGGAGCATGAAGATATGAATGTTTCCTGGCTGTCAGAGTGTGTCAGTAGAGGTCACTAAGGCCGGCAGTCTTGCGGGCTTTCTGCATGAGCGCACGAAGCTGGAACTGCTTCCTGGACAGAAGGCGTACATGCTGTAACAAAAGAGAACATGAGGCATTAAGGCTAAAATCAAGTGTGTGAATGTCTGTCTCTTGAAATCTGTCTGATACACAAATAGGCTTCCATTTTATTCATTATAAACACCCACAGTCTGTTGTCACTTTTAGGTGCACATTATGATTGTGTGTTGGCCAAATCAGTTCTGTGTCTGAACGCATCCTTACTTTATAAACATCATGTTATACATTAGTGGTAGTTATGTTGTTGATGTGGTCACCTTAAGAAAAACCTCCAGGTCTATGACGCCCCTGCGGAGGGCCTCTCCTAGGTAGAAGATAGTGTCTTCAATCGCGTTCTCCTCAGCATACAGGTTCAGGATCTGTTTGTACAGCGGAGCGGTGGGCACGATGACGTCGTCAATGTCGTTGTTCTCCGACTGGTTCTCCATCTTCTCCAAGGCCTCACTCAGCTCCTCGTCCTTTCTCTTCAGCAGCTCAATATTCCTGTCAACCTCGGACTAGCAGAAATATTGTGATTTAAACCATTTCATATTGTCAGAGGAACAAAACAAATGATATACAACTTTGAAACAAATGTAGGATTTCTCACCACTTCCTGGTCCAGCCTCGAGACCATGTCCTCCAGTTTCTGATGTCCTTTCTTCAGATCCTCCTCGGTTCTCTTCAGGGCGTCCAGCTCCGCCTGAGCTCTGTCCATCTCCTCCTTCATTCTCCAGCGAAGCTTGTCACTCACAGCAGAAATCAGAGATGCACGAATGGTGTCCTCGCCAATGGTGCCATCTCTGCTCGGGCCTTTAGAGGATGACGTTAAGAAGGGAAGTCAGACGGTGAGCAGACAAAACAGAAAACAACAGATACAAAAACAAGCCTTCTGATGAGCCGATTGAGACATTTTATTGGTGTCCTGAAACAAGCCATTTGATTAAGCGATTTAACTGAAACCATTTGATTGGCCAATTGAATTGAGCCATTTCATTTTCCATTTCAAACGAGCTAACGGAAATGGTTTAATGTGGAATTGTAAAACCATTTTATTTTAATTGTTAATTTAATGTATTTCTTGTCAGTTTTTAGCAGAAATTTGAGTTGAATTCATCGAGTTCATAGATGCAAATGTAAAGTGTTATCAAAGCGCCCTGAACACTACCATTTACAATATGTGGAAAAACACTGCTGGATGTCTTCAAAGTAAAGACCACCTAATGTGCAGTGTGGAATCAGCACTGCAAATGTCAGAGTTGATGCAGCCGGGAGATGTGACAGGTCTAAGGGCTAAACCCATATCTTCCCTTTGACTAAATATAGGCGATAAAGCTCCTCCTGCCCGCTGCCTTGCAGTGCAGTACTGCCAACTGATGTTTGGGCAGCAGATCACAGGTCTGCCTTTGTGTGGAGTTACTGTTCCCATCCTAAATTTAGAACTGTGTGAGGTTGATACTGTGATAGCTGGGGGTTGGACGTTGCCCTTCCCTTCAGATCTGTTCTACCCTTTGGCCTTTAATACCCCCCACTCTCGTTACACTAACGACCTTTTCACTGGCAGATCGGGATGCCACCGGAGTCACACAGAGGGCAAGAGAGTTTAAGTCAAAAGGTCAAAGGTCTTAATAACGAGTTAACTAACATGAAAACGAGGACACTCTATTGTTGTCTTTTTTTGAGGGGGTGGGGGTGAGTTAGTATACAAATATTGTATTGCAATACAAGAGCAATAACACAAAAATGACATCTTCTTTTGTATCTTGCTGTGCTTGTGCCATTTGTGCAAAATCTAATTTTAAACTTTAAAATGTACACTTGGGAAAGAGAAATAAAGCACCCCGGAAAATGTGATACGTACCCGCTGTGGAAACTGGGGTCTGGTTGGGGTAGTGTGCAGGGCCAGCAGTGGCTGGGTAGGAGTTGCCTCCTGGGTATTGGTATCCTGGGTAGCCTCTGCAGAAAATAAATAACTGATCAGAACGCAGCTCATTCTATCTGTTTTTCCTTTTCCCACATCTAGCAGACTATATGGAATGGAATCAGTTGAACAGTGGTTTATAAATATTCTCCATGTGATATGCTGGAGAAGAAACCACCCAAACAAACATGCCAGGAAATGTTTGTTTGCTAGAGAGCTGGAGTAGAGAGCTTTGAACTGCTTTGCAAACATCTTACCCCGGGTTAGGATTTGGGCTGTAGGGTGAGACCGCAGGCATGCCAGGCATATAGGAAGCTGAGGTAGAGAAATAGTGTGAACATTAGATCCAAGGCCAATACATGACAAATATACTGTCTCTCTGTCACTCTCAGAAAAGCATTACATTATGTCATTTCATTTTTATTTGTCCCGCTCATGGTACGCAAAACCAAATGTACAATAATTGCCACAAAACATGACTCTACCATTTAGCGAAAAGGAGCAGGGAGAAGAATACAATCTTATGTGACCTGCCCCTTTCTAAAAAAAAACAAATAAATACAAATAGATGGTCTGCCCTTCATAATAATAATTTTTTTTTCACAGCCAAACATAACAGTATCTTAGGATACTATGTAGTCAGTTATCCAAAGCGACTAACACACTCAATACTGTGGACAATCCCCAATTTGGGGCGAAGTGTCTTGCACAGGGACACAACGACATGCTGACTGCAGTGGGGTTTGAACCTGTTCCCAACACCAGCGCACTAGTCCACTGCGCCATAGCCTCCCCAGCACATTCCCTTTCCAATGCTGTAATGAAGAGGTAGTACCTGAGCTCCATCTAGTGCCTCAGAAAATAAATGCATCTCTTTAAAACCATGGTGTACAATATCCATCATACACCTTATGAGGATTCCTGACACAGTATGAAATACTGACATATGAATTATACACACACATCATTGATTTCTCTAGGCAACTACTATGGGTATGTAATCACAAACAATGGTTTTAAAAAAACATTTTAACATTCACTCTTAAGTACCTTAAGATAATAGGTGAAAAAAAAAATGGTGTTTATTTTTTGTATCTATTTGAGGACTTTAGGTTGGCCTTAACATATTTTGTAATTCTGTTAACCTTTATACAACATTTGAAATGAAAATAAAAACTGGTAAAAACTGTTCAACAGCACATTTATAGAAAAAAACACAGTAAAAAAACGATTGAAGACGAATCAGAATGGATTTTTTTAGAAAACAGTCTTATGTAAGCAGTTTATTGGAACATATTCACAGTTGGCAATTTGTTTGGTACAACTAGCTACATTTAAAGTAGTTCAAGCTATTAACCCTACCTCTGTGCAGGTTATTATGTTCTTAAAGGGATGTATGCATATGAATTTAAATGTTGTAATGGCGCTTTTTCTTATTGAGACAGTCATTGACAAAAAATGGGTGGCCATGACTCATTAAAGACAGTGTTCTGATTGATTGGTGTTCAGTGTAAATCAGCACCATATCACTTTGTGTTAAAACAGTCTGTGGGTCACTCTATCCTTCCTGACACTATATTAAAAAAACGTGTATATTACCCTGTTTACGACAACAACGTAAGTCACTTACGGTTAGGGGGTCCAGCTGCTTGGAACGGCTGATATGGTGCTTGTGTTGTGGGCCGAGAAAACACAGGAGGCTCCTCTCCAAAAACCACGATCATCACCTGAATCAGACCATACAGGTCCGACTGAGGCTGTAAGACAAACAGAGGCCATGTTTTTATTGAGCAAGACCACAAATGCAGAATGCTATTTCAAATGATCGACAGGAAACCAACTGCTGTACAGATTTTCGTAAGTTAGAGCCACATTATAGAGATTTAAAAAATGTAAATAATGCAGTGAATCCTCAAAAACCTCTATAGCATCAGTACATGAGCAATCTATATTTTCACATTCTAAACATTTCATAGCCAGTCTATGATTAAAAACACTTACATGTTTCCACTCATGTAGATAAGGCAGGTAGATCTTGCCGTTGGCGTCGATGTGCTTGCCAGTTTTGATCATCATGGCACTGGTAGGTTTGACAAAACATATGGGAGGGTTGTAGGGATATGTGTCCAGCAACCACAGACACACTGGGATGTTGTAGGTGTTTCCTACAGGGGAGAAAAACACACACTATATTATAATTTGATTTCATTGTATGTTTTTTAAGTCTCAACATTCTCAGAACTTGACAAACGTTGTTATTTTGAGGCACACTTATACGATGTCTAGTCTAGAGTAAATACATCTGAATATGAAATTGTATACGTCAGGTGCCTTCCTAAGCTGACACACAGAAGCATCTGCTACTTGATGAAAGGTTTTTTTCTTCTAAAGTTCAAGATAAATAGCAAGTTAGAGTGAGCACACCTGAGAAAAAGTAGGTGAGGGAATCAGACAAACTAAACAGAAATGACACCTATCTACGCCCACAAATAAACAATGTGTAATACGTTTTTTATACAGAACTACATTTGTATTTAGAAAGCACTGTAAACGTTCCTTACCTCTGTAGCTCACTGGAACAGTTCCTGTCAAGCTCAATAGGTCTCGTGTGGAGCCATCATTAAACACTAAATAAAAGAAGATGACATGTCGGTTAACGAAAACAATGTATATATTTGCCATCATATGAGCATACAATATATAACCACACAAAACCATGAGCTCTGTATAACTCGATTTACCATAAGCGTCCATCAACGGCTTCAAGTCCTTGTACTGGCTGATGACATTGGTTATCTCACGAACTGTCAGGTCCCTGTACTTGTATTGCTGGACAATAACAACACAAAGATGAAAGAGAAAAAGTCATGTATGTTAGTATACATCATTACATTTTAGACACTTCGGTAACTCATTCAGACGTAGTTGCCACAACTAATAAGTTATGTATTTGAATCCTAAAGTAATTTTGTGTGGTGTGTAGTCATTTATTTTGGTGTCCAAAATATTTGTCTTGTGCTAGAGCTTAGCATAAGGAGTAACAAAACTAAAATAGATTAGAGAACAGAGTGTTCATAAAGTGTCAAATGAAGGAACTATAAGGATATCTGATATAAAATGATAGCCAATAAAGTCAGAAAATACACTGTAATATCTACTGGTGTATTAACTCATAACGAAGTTTCTATATCCTAATTCTAGGATAATAATGCAGTGTGCTCTTCCAAGGACAAATAACAGTTTATGGCCCTCTACCTGAAACTTTTTATTTCTTGAGTTGTTGAAAATATTACAGAGATGATCATTAGACCATGGGGTCATAATAGCTCAGAGTTGTTTAGATATTTGTTTTCGAAAACTATATATTGTATAAGCTAAAGGCATATTATACATATGTATTTGTATTATTCCAGGAAAATGTGCAGCCTCAAAGCTAACACATCAATTGTTAGCTACACGCAATGCTTAATTTAATATGTAAATTGGACTTTAATTATGTACATTAACAAGCCTGAAACGTTACTTAGAATAGTCAACGATGGGTGGCATTAAATATTTGTACATGATAGACATACATTATACATACTTAATTATAATCCTTATAACAGTGGTTTAAGTATTGCTCTGGCAACAGTTGATAAACAAGTATTCCTAGCAAATGGGATCAATGCTGTACAAGCGAAATGTAGGAGACACATAATGTCATCCTGAAATATAGGAATGGTTGTTTATTGAAACGTTTATATTAAACATATACGTAAGTGTAGCTAACGTTAGGTGGCTGTAGGATCTAGGTCATCACAATAATATGTACGAGGAATCTCAAAGAATCCACATTATTATTTAAAGTACTGTAAATCGTCTGTTTATTAAGCAATACAGATCCTATTCCATATGTCCAGGAAATGTGAACATGCTCAACGATAGTGTCCTGTTTGGTATCGGTAACATTTGCTAACGTGCTAACGTTTCTGTTGACCAGCAAATGATGCAACACGTACCTTTAGCATTTTCTTCAGAACAACTTCGTTGACAACTGCCATGGTTTTCACTTTTTGTTTTCACCGCTATTGTTAATAAGTAAATTGAAAGAACGGATGGCTTCGAAGTAAGCTAGACTAACAGCTAGCACGCTAAGCTAGCACGACTAATGCTAGGCTAAAGTTAGCCCAGCCTCGGGCCCGACTACAATTAAGACAATGATTCGGTGTCTATAGAAAACCTTCTAGTCCAACACGAGTAATGTATCTGTTGTCAATGCGACAAGATGTAATAATTTGAGAAACTTTAGTAAACAGTTTATTAGGAGTTCTAAAATGAGACCGAAGAACAAATATCCGATAGAAAACAAAAGGAATTTCCGGTATTCCACCTGACTGTTTCCGCTACGCAAATGACGTAAACAGTAGACGAGTTGTTCTCAAGGCGTGGTCCTATTTAGGTGAGTTTCCTTCACACAAAATAGGCTATATTAGTGCAAAAGCGTACTTAGTCATTATACAAACCATGTTGGAAAATAATATGAAATGTGTTGCCCCACAATAATACACACATACATGTTTGATATGACTCTTTATTTACAGTACCAGCATCAATCAATCACTTGACACTTCTCACGACAGTTTGGGTTATAAATTATAATTTCAATATACACTGGCTGGCTATGTGTGTGTTCTTTGGATTGTTACATTTTCTCTTCACTGGTCAAAAGCCGGAAACATTTGTGAATAAAAGCAAACAAACTGGGTGCAGTTATGGTACCGTTTTATGAGCTGCTTGTTAAGAAATCTGGTGTTCAAACCTAGGCCCTCAATATGTATTATGTTCATTTGAAAAACAAATGATATGGTGCATACATTCACAACTAAACCCAGTCAGTATGTTTTAACCAGTTTACAGTCTAAATCATTGGAAAATATACATACATCATGTTATAATCCATTTGTATGAATTGTATACATTTATTAACCAAACAACAAATGGATACCATCTGACACTTTACACATTGAACACCCCATCACAGGCAACACACACAATACAAATATGGTTAAAATTCCACAAAGACTAACAGTTGGTTTCATGTTCTTGGAAAGGTAGATCATCTTCACAGGTTAAATCCAGATACATGCTTCCATCAGTCTTTGAAAGCACCTCTGCTTGTTTGTGGAATTGCAGCCAACCTATAAATATATTATTAATTTTAGAGAGGCCTGAATCAGTCACAACAAATTCATAAACATGTTGAGAGAAGGAAATTGTTTTCAGCTCTACATTTAAGAGCAATGAACCTAGAGTGACATTGAACAGGTGTGGTCTGGATATGGATCTTTGGATCTGCGATAAACTCATATCTAGGGCATAGGTAGTGTTGTTTTGAAACAACATGGAGATAGCTTCCTGCCTGTGTAAGCATAACTTACAAGGGGCTTGTTCAGGCTCTGGATGAGGCTGCATGCACACAGGAGGGAAGTCTCCAAATACGACAACCATCACCCGGAGTAGGCTCAGTAGGTCACATTCACCCTGATGGGAAAAAGGAAAAGTCAAACAAATGTAAGGATGTAATAACTCCATCATCCATCCCTTTTTACATTCAGTATTTTCAAAGAAAACAAGATACAATTAAAATTCTCACACATTTCCACTCCTCCAGGTAAGGCAGCACGACTTCACCACTGTTGGAGATATACTGTCCACCGATTAACATCATCTCATGTGTGGGTCTGACAAAGCAGATGGGAGCAGTTTGTGGATAGCTTTCTTCAATCCACAGGCATACCGGGATGTTGTAGGTTTGGTCTTGTATTAAAAAAGGGGAAAATATATTTGTATCTTGTAGATTCTAAGAAATGATGAGTTGTATCATCATTATTTGTGATTCAAATTGATCACTTCCCCCACTAAATTCCAGCTTATACTGTAGCTGTTTCATAGAGTTATACAAATGCAAAGTCATTGTTACCTTCAAACATGACAGGGATGGTTCCAGTTAGACTCATCAAGTTCTTTGTGTTGCCATCATTGTAAACTGTAAATAATGAAACCATGAATATAATTTCCGTCACTTGTTGGAGTTTCATGTTAAATACATTCAACAACAGATTGTTAGGTTTAATTGACCTTCTTACCGTATCTATCCATCAAGGGTACAAGGCTTTTAAAGTGAGTCAATGCATCGTAGATTTCACGGGCCACATGTTTCCGTGGATATGTCTTAAAAATAAAAAGAATACAATGGGTCCGGGAGCACCATTACAAATCTACATGGATTATTTATATACTATTAAAATGTTAAGTTTGACTAAGAGAGAATAATCTGTTGATCATTAATCTTACCTTAGGAAGCATTTTCGTAATTGAACGCTCGTTGTATGGCATGATTATGAAGAATCCAGTTTGAACATATCACTTTTTCTTGTATGCTTTTAATCGCCTACACTGTTATAACCCTCCACCCTGTTTGTCTTTGGTTTATGGATTAGTCTTTGTCTTTTATGACTTTAGAATCCAGTAAGAAAACAGCCCTGTAATTATGCAAAGCATGTGACCTTAAAAGCAACAACTAGGTTTAATGGCTTGAACAGCAATATAACAGTGACCACATTTACAAATTATTATTATTTATCATGACAATTGCTACAGTGCTTTCTAAATACAAATGTAGTTCTTTATAAAAAACGTATTACACATTGTTTAGAGGAACCATGCTTGGTTGTTATTTGGATTATGAAACTGTCGGATCACAGGAAATACATTTATGTGCTTTCCCTTGGTTTGCCTCACCTCTTTTCTCCCTTCTACCTAAGAAACCACTTCCTCATGTTGTTACAGTATAGTGTTTTGCAACAGTAAAACGTTTGTGTAAACGCAACATTTATGATTGTTCTTTGAACCTTCATCACAGCTGTACTTGCCAACATTGTGTAAACCAGTAATCACCCTCACTTTTAAACAAGGAACTATTTGGTTAGAACATGATTAAAGTTCTGCTGAGTTTATGCTAGATATAAGCTCCTTTATTATTACATTTGTCTTATAGTCTGTACGATACACAAAGCAGCCTGCAGGCGGCAGCAAATCCCAAATGTAATGACATGAGTTAGATGTTTGAGCGACCAAAGACACAGATTCATCTTGACATCTTTATTCCTGTCCTGCAATACATTTGCCACATATTCAAAGAGTAAATACATCTTAAATAGCTAAACAGTTTCACACATTCTTTCCACACCTCCATCCACAGTTTGCAAGGGAGAAACAAGCCCTTGATCCCACTGTATCCTTGTGCAAAACTCCCAATGGTCCGTACAGTCTTTGTCATGCTCGCCAGGTTTTCTGACATGTATACTTGTGGTTTGCTGGCTGTAGTTTTCCTGTGGCAAAATGACGCCAATATTCTAATGAAACAGGAATTTGAATACATAGATTAGTGGAATTATATGTATTATCATGGATGCACTGTTTCAAGATTGACAGGGAGAGGACAAGCATACTACCAGGACTGTTGTTACAGGTTACAAACGCCACACTCGTTTTTTCCATCAAAAGGTTTGAGTACAATGGATGACAAATAAAAGTTAGAACAACACAGCCAAAAGTGGGACAGAGGAACAACTCCTGCATTATTTTGTTATGGTACATTTGAAACATGAGGCTCCTTTTAAACAATACCTAAACACATTCACAGTTCATGTCTTTTCTCCACGCAGAGAAATGAACACTTAACTGATTAAAACAACTTGATCACTACCATCCACACAGAAACTAGACTGATCATATTTTTTTGAGCCATGATATGATGGAAAGAGTCACTTTAAAATGTACAAAATTAACTAGGTAGGAGATAAGCACTTTGATTTGTGCGTGATACATGTTAAAATGTTTTTGAGGTTTGCAGAAACCTCCCTGTAGTGTCTGGATCTCTTTATGTTATCATACCAATTCTCTGAATTAAAAAATAATAATCTGGTTTTAAACTAACCATTTCTAGTAATCAACCTCACATGTTCCATTGTATTTGGAATGACATTTCAGAAGACAACTTGGGTTATACTGGGCTCTTTAACTGTTGTTTTTCAGTCTTTTAAAACAGAATCACATTTAGATACACATCATTACAGAAAGCCCCCTTTTAAAACAAATTAAAAAACAGTGTAGTGTTTCCAGGGACTTGCCTTTCAAATTCTATACAGCGCAAGTCTTGACTCAACTCACTTATATTTTCTTCAGTTGCACACATCACCAAACAAACAAAACAATGCAGCCAACAGATCACAGAAACATCTAGATTCCTCTAGCGCTCGCTGCATACATGAGGTACAAACTAGCTAACAGATAAGGCAAAGTAAACACAGAGCAGTCTTTTTTTTCATATAGGCAACAAATTAATGCAGTTGTGGAGAGCACAAGCTGGGTCAGTATTAAGAAACAAAGCGATGCACTCCCAAAACCAAATATCCATCACCTGTTACACACAATAGTCCCACATATACAGTAAATATGGTTCCGACATGATTAGCACCTGACCTGTTATTGTTCCGTTATAGAGCTGAGGTTGCAGAGAAAGATGAGCAGTTTGAGGATAGTATGGTGTGTGGAAATCTGAAGTTTGACTCTGAGGCAGGACATGTGCGTTACACTCTGCAAAGCATCCATAACCTAATTGTATAACTGTACAAGTGCAGGGTTTCCTCTTATTTCTACAGGAAACCTCTTCAGCTGTAGCAACTGGAGAGGTGACAAGAACTAGATTTTCATGCACAGTACCCCTCCGCCCTTCTAAACCAAAGGCTAACAAGAAGCAATGAGAGGTGGTTTATTCCCAATACTTCGTGTGAATTGGACAGGAAAGAATCCTATTGCACCAGAACCTACGTGCACTAGCCAATAGCTGTTACTATTATTTCATAAAGACTGTAGCAAAGGAAACATCTGCAGAGAGAGAAGGTGGTTGCATTCTGGAAATGCATCTATCTTTACATTCCAACTACATCAGGCAGGCCATGAAAACAAAAGTCAAACAAGGTGCCATCTGGAATAAACACCCTCACTCACACATTGCTCTGTGACTTTCAAATTCTGCAAATCACAAATAAAATGTTCCATATCAAAAAGCTAGGCTAACTGTTAAAACAACAACACAATTATAGTCATTCTCATGTCAGCCCCCGCCCCCTGGACCCAGTATAGAAGAGACTACACAGCCATTCGAAGGGGGAAATCAAAAGACAGGTAGAATGGGACGGGGGGGGGGGGGTTATTCATATGAGAGGTGTTTGGGCAACAGAACGTCCATTCCAGTCCTTTCCATGTTAGTCAGTCAGTCCTTCCAGTGGGCAGGCATTGGGGGGGGGGGGGGGGGGGGATTAGGCTTTCAAGGTGGGAGGAGGTCAGAAAGACCCCAATTAAGACCAGTGTTGAGACTGAAAACAATAAGTTAGCAGGAAATGTGTTGAGCTACCCAGTAGGACCACACTGGAGTTGACAAAGAGTCATTAGTGGTGTTGCTCACAAGTCCACGTGCGGACCAAGAAAAGGGGGCCGGAACCGTGCTAGTTCAGGTAGCCACATGGGCAACAGTCCAAATCCTCCTTATCCATGAAGGTCTACGGTTCAGTCAGCTCTGGTGGTTTCCTTGAGCGCTTTTGCTTCAATCATCCTCTTTTTGAAAAAAGTTTATATTTCATCATTGAGTTGTTTTTATCTTTCTATCTTTGTGTCCATGCTGCCACTACGCGCTGTAGCATTTCTCCTCAACGTGCAACAGTCAGCTGTGGAAGGAAATGACAAAAGGGGACAGACGTTAGTGCTCTTTTTACATTTATACTCCTGGGGAAAAGTGAAACTGAGTTGTAACATTGATCAGAATCAGAATCAAGTTTATTGCTTTGGTATCTGGTGGTGTGAACATAAACCATCTAGAAAAATAAGTTGCAAAGTAGGTACAAAAAGAAATATATAAGGATAATACAAAATCATTTACTTTCAATGGGCACTCATTTGCATAAACAGACGAGCTCCTGTATAAGCATACCAATTTAGCGACTTCCCCTTTAACTTAACTGTCAGAGAAGAAAAATAAATGTGTGTCTCACCTGCATCACGATACCACACAGCGACAGCTCATACAGTCCTGACCGCTCTCATCGGGGGGGTTCAGCTTCCTCAGCTTATGCTGTCTGATCTCCCTAACCAGCGTGTAGAAGGCGTCCTCTACTCCCTGTAGACACACAACACACAAAAGGTTACGTGGGCACTTTCAACGGTCAATTATGAGTGCACTGCATGCACCTCTTCCAACTGACAGCATGGCTCTTCGGTGTACTCATCCCTGAGAGGCCTGGCCACATCACCATGGCGACCCTGATATTTCAGACGTCGGAAATCATAATAGGTAAAAAGAAGTCATTCACGTCGTGCTTTGCAAACTCTTCTTTTTGACTGACACATTTCTGCAGGAACCATGATGAATGCAGGAGTCTGTACCTTCACTGTGTGTGACAGTGAGTCAGACAGAGTGGGAGCTGTGCGGCAACTTGTCCTTCCTTATGAAGCCTTTCAAATACTGTAGCTGTTCTTAAGCCAAGGTAACCTGGCTGAGTCATTGCCTTTGGGATAATAAAATGTTTCCAGCTACACAAATCACATCATACTGCGGACATTTAGTTGCTTTTCACATGAAAATACACGTACAAAATGTAAAAAATACAGGGCCCATACTAAAAAACATACCGTGTTTAATACAGTATTATAAGAGGGCTAATGTGCATTGAATGTGGGTTTCATGGCTTGTAAAGATGGGAGAAATATATGTTACGTTCACAGGTAGTTTGAAATATCAGAGATAGGGAGAAAGAAAATAAAGTGTGGTATTGTGGGAGTGTGCTTCTTGTTCACCTGTCGTGTTTTAGCAGAGGTCTCGATGTATGGGATGCCGTAAGAGCGGGCGAGTTCCTGGGCTTGCCTCGTGTCTACCGTGCGTGTCGGGAGGTCACATTTGTTTCCCACAAGCACCATGGGAACATCGTCCGAGTCCTTTACACGTTTGATCTGTTCTCTGTGAATTGCAGAAAGAGAAAAATGCCATAAGAACTTTGTCTGTTTTCCTTAACCCGCCCCAGCCCTGCACTCAGTCACAGGGACATCTGTGTAGTCTGGGGATCCTCCCTGCTTCATAAACAACAGCAGCCCCACCGCTGGAGAGCCAACCACCCGGGGAGCTCTAGGACCCTGAGGAGGAGCCGGGGCCCACCGGTGCTGGGCTGTGCTGCACTGCTGAAGGAGGGAGGGGAAGGGAGGGAGGGGGAGGGATGGACAACAGGCAACAGCATTACCTCATCACTACAGCA